GCTCTGTAAGTCAAGCTTGAACACTCTAAATCAGACGAAGAAATCGTAGTTTTTATGGTATTTTCTTCTTAAAGACTTTGCCCTTTCTTTTCCTCAGTGGAATTCCAAGCCAAAACATATCAGGGACTTTATCTCCAAGCATTGGAAACTTGACAAATCTACGGACTGTGTGAGTGACGTATAATCAACCATGGTTGAAGAAAGTAAGATATATAGTTTGAAATTTATCTTATAACATATTTTTGCAGGCTCTTGCAAGATAACAATATATCAGGAACGATTCCTTCTGAGTTTGGGAGACTCCAAAAGCTCGAAACTCTTGATCTTTCTGATAATTCCTTTTCTGGTCAACTTCCTGATAGTTTTTCTCAAATGAACAGTCTTCATTACCTGTAAGTTAAAAAATGCACAGGATACATATATAATAGCTTTATATTTCTCCTTCCTGTTTCTGATAATTGGAAAATGAATTGCAATCAGACGGCTGAATAATAACAGTCTCAGTGGAGAAATTCCATCCTCTTTGGCTAATATGACCCAGCTTGCTTTTCTGTAAGTTTTACCTTATTTATACCTTTTTTCTTTCTTTTTTTTTTTTTGCTCCTTAACCTTACTAATTTTGTCTCCGATTAATATTCTGTCTGCTTCTGAAATATGTTTAGGGATATTTCCTATAATAACTTGAGCGGACCTGTACCTACAATAAATGCAACAACATTCAGGTAAGCTCTTCTATTTTTTCCTCATTGACACATTTAGTTTCTTTTTAATTTTCCTGTTATGAGGGCATGAAGTTAGACTGTTAATTGCTTCCCTAATATGTTTATCTCTTTCAAACAGTATTGTAGGCAATCCCCAGATTTGTGCCACTGGAACTGAGCAAAACTGCTTTAGAACCTCTGTACTTTCTTCTTCCATGAATATTTCTCAAGGTAATCATAGTTTCTTCTTCTCATACTCATGATGTTTCTTCTAAAGTTCTGCTTCTCATACCTCATGATGCTTCTTCTAAAGTTCTGTTTCGTACTTCAAATCAAATGCCTGGCAAAGATTTTTTTTTCCCCAAAATAATTTTTTAATTCCAAGTTTAAATAATTCTCAAGGTAATCATAGTTTTCGCTTCTCATACCACATGATGCCTCTTCTAAAGTACTGTTTCTTATTTCAAATCAAGTGTTCCACAAAGATCTTTTTTTCTTTTTGCAAAAAGGAAAAAACTTCGAGTTCATAATGACGTTAACTTTTCTGCTTAATACTACTGTTTTCTTCTGCAAATTGAGACCATAAAGCACTGTTGTGATCAATTAATTTTCAAATAAGTTTCCTGCTTCTTTATCTATCTCTTTTGTCTATGTTATTATCTCCATGATCTAAGTTTCTGAGATGGTTTCTTGAAATGCTTCTCCAGATTCACAATCCTTTGGTAGACCTAAACATCACAAAGTTGCTTTGGCATTTGCTTCAAGCATAAGCTGCATCTGCCTACTAATTGTTGGGTTTGGTTTCGTCCTTTGGTGGAGAAAAAGATACAACAAACAGATTTTCTTTGACGTTAGTGGTCAGTAAATCATAAACTAGAAACTAAAACAAGTTAATAACGCCAACTTGGCAGCCATGTAATTTCAATTTGTCCCCACTTAAACATCCTTGTGCCAAATTTTTCAGAACAATACCGTGAAGAAATTTGCCTTGGAAACCTCAAGAAGTTCAATTTCAGAGAGCTTCAGACTGCTACAAATAACTTCAGCAGCAAGAACTTGATTGGCAAAGGAGGATTTGGGAATGTGTACAAGGGGTACCTCTCTGATGGTTCAATTATAGCAGTGAAGAGGTTAAAAGATGGTAATGCCATTGGAGGGGAGATCCAATTCCAGACAGAAGTCGAGATGATTAGCTTAGCCGTGCACCGGAACCTCCTTCGCCTCTATGGATTTTGCATGACAGCAACTGAAAGACTCTTGGTTTATCCCTACATGTCCAATGGTAGTGTTGCTTCCCGTCTCAAAGGTAATTGTAGATTTTTACCACTAGTCATTGCTTATACATCCACTTATTTCTGGGTTTTCTGTCACAAAAATGGAACTTCCATCATATTTGAGGTTATAACACAGCTAAAAACCTTTTAGTTAAAGTGGTGTTTCACGTAGTATCAGATGTTACACGAAAACTATGGTTTATGAGGTTTGAAAATTGGTTTGCTATTTTTGATGTTACAGCCAAGCCTGTTCTTGACTGGGGAACAAGAAAGAGGATAGCCTTAGGAGCTGCCAGGGGCTTGCTATATCTGCATGAGCAGTGTGACCCCAAGATCATTCACAGGGACGTGAAGGCTGCAAATATCTTGCTAGATGATGATTGTGAAGCTGTGGTGGGCGATTTTGGGTTAGCGAAGCTTTTGGATCACCATGAGTCTCATGTGACAACAGCTGTTAGAGGCACTGTTGGGCACATAGCCCCAGAATATCTCTCAACTGGCCAGTCCTCTGAGAAAACAGATGTGTTTGGCTTTGGAATCCTCCTTCTTGAACTAATCTCAGGCCAGAGAGCTCTTGAATTTGGAAAAGCAGTAAACCAGAAAGGAGCTATTCTCGACTGGGTGAGTCAAATAATCTTGAAATAAGAAATCATGATATGTGAAGGAATTCAGAAATCTGATGATAAATACTAAACTGCTCTTAACTTGTTAAATGCAGGTGAAGAAGGTTCATCAGGATAAGAAGCTTGACTTGTTAATTGACAAGGACCTGAAAAATAACTATGATAAAATTGAACTTGAAGAAATAGTTCAAGTAGCTCTTCTGTGTACTCAGTATCTTCCAAGTCATAGACCAAAGATGTCTGAAGTGGTTAGGATGCTTGAAGGAGATGGGCTTGCAGAGAAATGGGAAGCCTCACAGAGAGCAGAATCAACAAGAAGCAGAGGGAATGAACTCTCTTCTTCAGAGAGATACTCTGATCTTACTGATGACTCTTCATTGCTCGCACAGGCAATGGAGCTTTCTGGACCAAGATGATGAGTCTGTTGTACATTAGCATCATTTTAGCATCTTCTAAAGAGTTAAGTCAATTTCTGACTGTACAGACGCTCACATATAGATGAGTCATGATTGTGTTATGTTATTCTAAATTCCCCTAGAGCCAAGGTTTTTCTGGGCGTATGAGTATATATAATAAATAAGAATCTAATTAAGTAGAAAAAAAATGGGCATCCTTGTGGGTCCTTTGATTTGTAGTGATAATGATCTTGGGATTGGTTTCTCCTTGTATTCTCTCTACTAAACCAAATGTCCATAGCATTTTGAAATTTGTTTTTCTCGGTTAACTATTTGCCTATTGCACTTTTTCTTTACTGTACAATTACACTGCCGTTTAGCAGTTTTATATTATTACCTTTGGTCCTTAATGCAATACCTAGTTCACTAATTTAAATAGATTAAGAAAATTAAATAAATTACATTAAAATATTATGTTTATTGTTTTTGTCCAAACTAATTTGTTTGGCTTATAAACTAAAATATAATATAATGATGCACATAAGTATTTTAAAAAAGATCATAAAACATATGCTATAATTAAATAACTTTTTAGTTTTTTTGATTTTTTCAAATTAGTCAATTATGTATTATATTAAAAATTAGAGGTAGTATTGGTTAATTGTTAACTAGAATGCAGATGCTGAGATGTTTTGGACAATTCTTCATAGAAATCAAGTTCTTAGGCGTTTATTGATTTAGAGATGCGAGACAAACGATATTTTATCAACGGATATTAATTAGAATACGGGTTTCTTTTCCAAGTAACAATACTGCCATGTAATTAAAAAAAAAAAGCATATGGAAAATTGTCTATGAAACTCTACCTCTCGGTCCTTAATATAAAAGTTAGTTTGACATTCAATTTGTTTCTAAATATAATGTCCCAATCTACTTTGTCTCTTGTTTATCTATTTTTTTCAAAATAGTTTTTGTAATAATTGCACATGTTAAATATTTTATTAAATAGTAGTTCCAGCTAATGTATATGATTAACAAAGATATTTTAGGAAAGATAATACATATTTATTACAAATAATTAATTTAACTAATTTTTTTTAACTTTTACATTAGGAATCGGAGATAGTGTGAGATCTTTTTAAAGAAAATATATCCATTTTTTTTAATTATCGATTCAGTCGCTGAATTTTGATGCAAAACAACTTAGTTTTTGTAGTTTATTGAATTAAGGAAGTGATAGGACAGAATCATTCTTGGTCAAAGACCCATGGGAACCAAAATCATTTTAATTCAAAAAAGCCAAATCAATAATTAAGTAAAAATTTACAGACCACAAGTTATATTTCCTCTATATTGTTTTCGTAGCAATTTAATATTCAAAATTATTGGCTAATTCAGATATAAATATTATCAAATGAGAATAATTTTTCAGCAAAATTTTTTCAATCGGAATTCAAAATTTTTCTTCACCAAAAAAAAAAAAAATCCTTTCAATCGCATTGATCTGTTTTTTTTTTTTGGTTAGTAATTTTATATTCATACATCGCATACATTTATACCAGATTTTACAGTAATCTACTAATCTGAGAGATATAAATCTGATTGTTGAAACTCTCTCTCTTTATCCCAAGAAATATGCAACCAGACGACAGATGTTCCAGGTCAACACGGACAATTCATGGAATTTGCAAGAAATGATAATCCTCCAAAAGGGGAGGGGGAAAAGGAAGAAAAGGCTCTTTGAAGCTTGCTTTAGTGAGATATCCATTCGATGAATGTTCCTCATTCTGAAGTGTTCTTGCTAATTATTATTGAAAAATTAAGCCAATCCAAAGCAAAGTTTCATGTGAAATATGCAGTTGGAAACACCTTCAACAATACGATAATCTGCATCTGCAAGTGCATCTAACAGTGCAAGAACACCACCTCCGTTGAGCTCTATTGAATCAATATCAAATTCTGGCAAGTCCTTAGGGTGATACTTGCAACACAAGAAAGTAATGCATAGATGAAAAGATAAAGACAATATATGGGGAAAGGGAGGGAAAGAATGCATTTGATAAGATGGTCTATACAAATCTAATCACGAACAAAAATGATTTCTGCGCGAGCAGAAGCTCGTCGAAATCTCACCAACTCAATCAACATTTTCAATTGACTTTCCATTACATACATACAGGGAACAATGCTCATGGTTTCAAGCACAGGTGAGTTGGCAAGCAAAAACTTGATTAATTCCATCTCATGCGGTACACCACACATATCTGTTAACTTCACAACTTTAAGCTGTTTAAGTGTACAATCTGAAGGGCATTCCTTACTCCAAAAATCCAAATCCGGAGTATCCGTTGCAGGCGGTGTGTTTGATGAACCGTACAAAAGCAAGAATTGGATAGTCATGAACTCTAAAATGTATGAAAGGCTAAGAGCTTTACATTATTACTATGTAGAAACAAAAGAATGCCTTCACATCAATGAATCATGGACATTAACACAAGATGCAACACTTTATCCATACATCACACCTAAAACTGTCATGTCACGATGTCTATGCCTATGCCGTATCTCATATGCAGGTTAGTGTAAATGCTTCTTAGCATCATATATATACAAGGACTTACTGAAATTTGAAGCTCTTTTAGATTGGGAGAGCTTGTAATAAGGCGAAGGACCACAAGTATCTCTTTCATATCCTCAAAACTTACTTGATATAATTCAACAGTCTCTAAATTGCGATATGTTACTGGTAGCTTTCCTGGATCATTGCCTATGCTCAAATACTTCAAGAATGTTGGAAAAGCAATAAGAAAGAGTTTTGGCCATATCGACACTGAAATTATTTTGCGTGGCTGAAACTCCAAGCAAAATGAACTTGGACTAACTCAACAAACAGATAAAAACAAAACGTTACCTTTGTAAAGTAGATATGCCCAGCGAGCCTCTCAAGATTAGGCACACCACCTAGAAACTTGGTAAAATTGCAACTTGAACTTTGCTCAAAGTGCTCAGCAATGTCGTCAGTCATATACATAGCAACAGATATATCAACCAGAAGTGGGGTGTCTTCAAGACATAGATCCTTAAATTCACCTTCAAGATACAAGTATAGGAGATTTGGGGCATGAATAGTGAGAGCTAAACTATCAAAGTATGACAGTGATAAACTCTCCAAAAGTGAGCAACTGGAAATAAGACTCTCAATTGCTTCAGGAGATATCAGAACTTGATGAAGGATGAGAGTCTTTAAACACAAAAATCCTTTAAAGGTAAGAGGAAGTTCCAACTCACAGCGGAAGAGCTCCAAGCGAGTCAATTTCTTACAATTGAAAAGACATGATGGTATTCTAAACCATTCACCTTCACCTAATTCCAGAACCAATTCTTTTAAATCATTCCTTGAAAGAAAAAGAACCCACTGATCTATTTCTGGGCAGCTCTGCAAGTATGAATTCGTGATTTGAAACTTATGTATTGGACCTTGGTGAAGAAAGAGCAGCTGGTTGACGAACTTTATAAGGCTTTTCTCAACAATAGTTGGATCATTACCGGAAGGAACACATTTTTCATCAATCACAATTTTAGTGATGCCATTCCATTTGTACCTCCATTTACTCGACAAAATGCTTGTTCTAACGGCATCTCTTATCGGCAATCTTACCAGAATACTCTCTATAATACTTTGAGGAAGATCACTTATCAAATCAGGACCCCAAAAATCGCCCATTTGAGTGCTTCAGTTAATCCATATAAAGAAAAACAGAAAATAGTTCATAAGTACAAAATTATAAGAGACAAAAAAACTAAACTCAACTGTATTTTCCCGCAAATTTGTGTACAGGATCCCTCATATCACTAACCCTCTCTTTTATAACGGTGGATTATCTATCAAGAAAGAAAACCGACCCCCCACACCCTCGGGGGGGGGGGCGGAATTAATTATCCTTGATTCTACTAAATAAATATATTTCCTCTCATTGTCCAAACGAACGAAATGACCAACAATGAGAATTCGGGTAAATTCTGCTTGAATACAAAACAGAGAGAGACCACAAATCATTTCAACGAAGCAAGATCTCATATTTAAAAGAAGCCCATAATTCAATTCCAATCGATTTGGAATATAATGCATCGAAAAACGCACCAGAAAGCGCAAAGATAAAGAATCATACCCAGAATGAAGCTGCTGAAGCTGAACACAATTTTGCGATCTTCTTTTACCGGAAAAAATCAATAATCACTTTCCCGTCGTTTGAAGGGAAGATAAGGTTTACTGGTTTAGGAAGAATTCTTTCGGTTCGGTGCCCAGAGACCCCAGCGTTAAAAATGGGACAAGAAAGTGTCACAGGGGGTCCCAAAAAAAAAAAAAAGCTAGTTGGCATCCCAGCCGTTTTACTTCGTCGCTGGTTGTTCTTTCTGAATTTGATCCGAATAAAGCAAAAACAAAAGCGAAAATTATGCAGAAATATCAAAATGAAAGATCATTTATGCGGAAGGATCGTAGATTTCTAAAATTGTTTTGAATGACCGAGATCATTCTTTGCAAAAACAAATAAGCAAATTTTACCGATCATTTTTTTGACCAAGAGAGTACTAAATAGTTGTAGAGAGAACAAACGTATAAAGTTAAGCTTATGTATTTAGCACTCAAACGAATGCAAATTTACAAGTCCAACTCAGGAATCTATCGCTTGCCAGTGGCATAAGTTATTAAGGGTAATTCCGTCATCGCAATTTATTTTATTTTATTTTATTTTTACAGGAAAAAAACTTAGATCTATAAGAGTAGTTTAAAAAAAATTCTTGGTTCCTTAACATAATTAACTTCTGGTTTTAGTTTTTCAAAATTATTTTTCCTAGACAAAACCGCAAAATGGCAGGCCTAATATTTATTGCTAAAGTAATGTGATTCATAAATAATATAGTTTATTAGCATTTTTATATTTCATAATGATCCGCATTGTTTTAAGGAAAAATTGCAAAAAAAAATTACCAAAATTGAAAAATTGTACACAAAGGCTCGCTTATAAAAATTGTTATAAAAACTCATACTATTATTATCAAAACCAATACTAATATTATAATGGGTTTCTATTTATAAGTTTTTTATTTCAGCAGTTTTTTTATGATTTTTTTTTGGCCCATTTGGTGTTGGTTGAAGATGATTTTTCTTTTATATAAAACTATTATATACAATATTACATCTTTATTTATTATTATTAGGGTATTATAACTATTTATTTATTATTTCTTTATTCAAGAGCTCTATGAAATTTTACAGAAAAAAGAGAGAACAAAAAGGGAGAAAGTTAATTTTATGCATAATTTTATTTTATTTATGTAATTACCACTTTTACTTTAGACATATCCTATGAGTAGTAAACCTCTATATGTGTGTGTATATTTCACATTATACATAGAAAAGATTTTTTCTCTCTAAAAGATCTAAGTTATTTTCAGCAATGGAGAATCACACAAGAACATATCATTTAAAGTAAAACAAAATTCTATTTTCTTTTCTATTAGACAGTGGGAATGTTATAAACTAAAATTTAGAAAAGTCCCATGGAATCAACAAAATTTCCAGTGGACATAAAACCCTCATCGTCCCCTCAAAGCTCATACTCCTTCCATCCTCATCTTTGTACTACCAATGCTTCAACCTCACCATTCTGACCAAGCAGAAGATTTTGCCATACAACCATATATATCTTAGTAATAATAGCAGTAATAGTAATAGCAGGAGCTTGAGAATGTGTAGAAGAATCAAGTTCTAGACATCAAGCCCTTCACCATGAATAACCCAACACAACCAAAAGTGATAGCAAGCAGGGCACGGACTGAAGTAGATTCTGATGCAGAAGAAGCCATGCTTGTCCTGTTGGCTCTTGCTTGGTGAGACCTTGCTCCCATGTTTCCAATTCCAAGGAGAAGGCTATTGAGGTTGTCTACTTTCTGCATGATATGGCGCTGCCCTTTTGCAATACCCAATATCTGAGAACAAACAGTAGCCTCACCAAATCAAATAATAAACTTGAAAAGTGTGTATATTATTTAGAGATAAGACATAGGAACATGACACACAACATAACGTGTCGTCTCGAGACAGACTCTGGCTTAAAGGTACTTAAAGCATATTCATTAGAGTTGTTCAACAGAAGTATGACATGGTGATATGAAGAAACTTGCATTGAAGAGTCGCCAGTGTGAGATTGATAGTACAATATGCAAGCGTAATTTTACTGGAGAATCCCATAGCAATCATCTGGAGAACTTTATTTAAGCTCCATCCAATATGAAGTGATTACAGGAATCTTCGTCACACCAGCACATTCTAAAAGCTGAGAATAACTTAATTTTTTGAAAGAAAAAGTCAAGAACAAATTCTATGCAATAAAAACTAGAAAAAAACTGGTGGGCATTTGAAAGAAAGGGACTTGCAGTAACAGCTGATACGATCCCATCCAGGGACAATCAGTTAGAGCCACCAATCTATATGTCAACCAGAAACATCTGAACTTGCAGTAACAGCTGATACAATCCCATTCAGGGACAATCAGTTAGAGCCACTAATCTATATGTCAACCAGAAACATCTGAAGGTTGCTACATTTTAAGTTCATTTACCTAATCAGGCATAAATGGATAGGAGAACACTTTATTATAGGCCACTCCTTTTATTACTCGACTGAGTTTATAGTTCCGTCAGGCATCGCATTGCTTCACCCAAATTAGACACATTTTACCTCATGAGAAATTTTTCTGGTTTCATTCATAAGAGAAACCATCTAACTTTAATCTCACAAGAAAATGCAGTGTCAGAAAATTATCTTTAAGGGCCACAATATCATATAAAATCAGCAAGAATACCTCATCCGTTAAAGGTGACTCCTTAGCTAATTGCAATGAAGATGAGGACTTCATAATAGATCCAGCTAGAGAACCACTTTCCAAACGAGTTATGAAGTGAGAGGTGGGAGCAGAACCATTGCAGACTTCAGCTTGGAGTGTGGCGGTTTGTTGGCTTGGAGAATTTTTATTTAACTTGGAATTCAGCTCTTCAATACGACTTGTAAACTCATCCATTCTATCGTTGAGGGAAGAAATTTGTTCTGAAAGCTGTGTCAAGGCCCCATGCCATGTATTAAGAGAGTGATGCAAGAAAAAAATAGAATAATATACAGACAGACAAGTGAAAATTCAGATCAACTGCAACATGTTCAGAAGTAATTATTTTATATGTATTTACCTCATTTGTTAGCGCTATGGAGGAATCTGGATTTCTTTCACCGAACCCTTTGTTGCTGGCACCATATCGAGTATGTTTGAGTAGATTTTTGTCCCTTTGGCTTGTATACGAATGGGACATACCACTGTTGAAGATGTCCATTAGTCATTAGTCCATCTATTAGATAAGGCCAAAATATACTTGCTTTCACGTAGTATAAGATAGACACCTTTCTACGAGCAAATTTAACAGAACTCCCATACACCTTCCTCTTACTTCAAAATTTAATATAGATTTTTATTGAACACTAATACACATCTTTTCCACCATAGTTCAATCAAGAAGCGGAACTCTTGAACTACAGGAAAGTGCTTCTCCCAAAAAAACAACACAACGGCTACGAAGTGCAATGCAATTGATGCATCACATAACTTCCATTTTCCATAATGACCATTACAAGCAGAACTCTGAACTTATGTTACTTGTTACCAAACATGGTTAAGGAAAATACCTTACATCCTAAAATTATAGACATGTATAACCACTTACCTGCTTATTAAATTACAAGAACATGAGTGCATTATTCATGCCAGTGTCAATAATGTTTTGATCTCAGAAAATAAATAAAAAGTACAGAAATTTCCACCTCATGTGCGTTTTTTTTGCAGGAATCCTATCCGCAAAGGCTTTAGAAAGTGCTTCTTTGGGGCTAGACACCATATCCTCATCAAGGCCAAGATTTGTTTTTAAATCATCTGGAAGGGCCTGTGGAATAGTTAGACAGAGAGCATTGACAAGGAACACGACATTAGCAGATGAGAAAATGTCATACCATAACCTCATCTACAATCTTTTCCAGTTGTATTTGTTCAATGTACGTACGAGCTATATAGGAACCCTCCATGCCGAGCTGCTGGGCAATGCATTTGACAATTGAGCGATCTTTTCCTTGCACCTGTTCATTGTTTCACTACTCACATATCAGAAGGACTAATAGTAATTACAAACCAAATAATGCAAGAACAACAACACCAAGCCTCATCCCATTATATATGAGATTGACTACATGGATCGCATTATGTCAATGTATTATATCAACATCGAATTCTTTAAATATACCATCTACCAAAAGATCCCATTCAATGACTTCCTTGAGTGTCCCTCTAGGTCTTCCTCTACTTACCTGATAAATAAACTATTCATCTGTAATGTTTTTTATCCTTATATTTCCAAGAACCATCAGGATAAACAACAGTTAAAACTAACACTTATTTATCAGATAACATCTTCTTTAAAAACCAGGCCATAGCATCAATGACGAAAGGGGAACAGAAGACGAAGAGAATGTATTTGAACTCTCAGATTTCTTGAATATCAATTTTACATTTCTCTATCTTTAGTTCAAATGCTGGAACCCAAACAGCTTGATCTATTTGTGAAATTTAATATGAAATGGTGTTGCAAAGCTAATTACCAATTAGAAACATACTCATTTACGTCCAGGAATGCATAAAAATGAAAGGTTTTATCTTAGCTTCCACAAATTTCATCAGACAATGCATTACACAAAACCCATAAAGAATGCAATGCACTGAAGGAATATATCTGACAAATCCTAGCGATTTCAACAGATATGAAATCCAGTGAAAGCTTTCAACAGTGATAAAATAGAAGGATACACTTGCTATAGCAGTACCTGAACATATTGTCGATTAAGTTGCTCAAGCCAATCTAGTTTCACAGACACCCTATCATCAGAGAATACATGGCTGTTTCTTTTTAGAATGGTAGCTATTGTGTATCCCAGGGCCATCAGGCCACCAAGGAGCCGCACACTAACCTCAAAAGTTATTCTTGGTGAAATGACAAATGGACTATCCGTCACCGATTCCTGAAAAGTTATAAGCTATCAATTAGTTTTTCTAATTTTCTTCAAATAGGAAAATGAATTGTCATTAGAAATAAAAGAATGAGATCCAAATAGAATGAAAGAAAGAGACAAAACAGCAAAAAGAAATAACAAAGCTGACAAACCACTCTGCATTATCAGAGACAGTGTCTTTCCTAACAATCCATGAGCTGAACACCAAAGGCAGTAAGCATGACCTAATCTTATAGCATATGCAAGGGCAAATAGATCCCCTTAAAAATGCAATCATTCCTCTCCAACCAAATATGAAGAGGACAGCATACACGAGCTCTTGGCCTCCTATACTCATTTAAATATGGGAAACACAGAAATTTCTTCTAGGTCTTTGGGCACTCCCAAAACTTTCCAAGAACTTTAAACAGGTTACTCAAGAAGAAAGTCGCTGCTAAAAAAACCCAGCGTATAAGAGGGGCGCATCTTGGATTTATCTCCCTCCCCTGTAAAAACAAGGCATCCTTCTTTTTGATATGGCTATCTAGCTAGGTCAGATTCAAACATTGTTGAGCCAGTTAGGGGTAGCTCTTCCAAAGGTGTTTTTTTTGCATTTACATGGACTCAAACTCAAACTCGAGACCTCATGCTTAAGAAAACAAAGCATCCTTCTTACATGCAGCCTAATGCCCCATTTGGTAGTAGTGAATTTAAGGGAGGGGAGTGGAATTGGAAGTGGAACCCATTATTTTGTGTGTCTGGCATGTGTGAAGTGGGTTCATAGAGAAGTAGGTTCCATCAAATTTGAGGCAAGTGGTTTCCTTGGGTACCCCAATGGAACTTAGATGAGTTTCATGGAACTGAGATTTTATGACCACTGTATTCTCAATTATTTTATCAATTGACAATCTTTCCCATTAGAGTTATAACCATATTTCTTCCTCTTCTCCCTCAAATAGCCTCCCTCTCCTGTATGACCTATCCTCCCCCTTCGATGTCCACCTCCAATGCTCACAGCCTTCCCCTCCAGCATTCCTTTCAATCTCATCTTCTCCCTTCCTCAATGGCTCCTTGTTCACCACTAGACATCATCTTCTCCCTTCCTTTATGGCTCCTCACTCACCACCATATCCTATCTCCTCCAGTCCTCCCTTCCTCCATGGCTCCTCGCTCACCACTAGATTTCATATCATCCCTTCCTCCATGGCTTCTTGCTCACCACTAGATCTCATCTCCTTCCTCCCTCCACCACTCATCACTCACCACTAGATCTCATCTTCTCATCTCCAATTTCGTCTTCTCCCTTGCTATCATGCTCAAGTCATCTTCTCTATTCAATCAAGTCCTCATCGTCCTTCTCTTTTCTTCTTCTCTAGTGATGTGAAACCAGATTCAACATGAATGATACCTCTATGTCTCAATGCCTGTTGATGACCAAAAGTTGCGCAAAAATGGAAGGTTATGGTTGTTTCTGTGGTGGCCAGTGGCTATGGTGGGTAACAACACCACTTTGGTTGTTTGGGAGGGTGAGTAGGGTTTTTTTAGTCAAGGGCATATAGGTCTTTTTGATATTATGAATCGACACATTGATTAGAAATTATGAGCTTTATGGGTATGCCAATCAAACTTTTAACCCACTTCCACTAGCATTTCTACCTCCATCAAAATCTCTTCCACAGACCAAATGGGGCATAAGATGAATGGACAATGACAAAAACAATGTGGACAGCAAAGTCTTTTTCTAGGCATCCATGCTTCATATCTTGCAGACAAGTTCACAAGACTCCTTTCCTACGCATCACATGATAATCACAACTGAATGTCCAGAGCAAACAGCTTTGGGAATTAAAATAAGAACAAGGAACTCAAATTGAAAATGCCAACCACGAACATTAGACAGCATTTCAGAACCTTATAATTGAAAGTAAATATGTTATTCCATCTTAAGTACACAGCAAAAGGTCTAGATTAAAAGACCTTCTGGAGTTCGAACAAGCACATGGAAACTAAACTTAAAGCAAACCTCAAACATTAGACAGTACTTCCCCTCCTTATTCCGCATCCTTAAATAAGATTGGCAAGTTTCTGGATCTTCACCCGGTGGTAGAAGATATATGTCATAAATCTGCTCATTTGCTTCCTTAAAATCTTCAAAGAAAACACCTTTAATTTGTTCAACTGTCACATCCCTTGCTGACTGCAATGAATAGCACAACTGATCATTATTTTATCCTTATTATAGCATCAGTATCAGACATAAGCATCAGAAATCACAAGACTTTCTACTATTTTTTATCCTTAATGAAAATTGGAATATAAAATAATGTATATCAAGGCACTAACTTTCAATATGTAAGTAGGACTCCGGAACCCAGTAAATGGATTGAACTTGTTGGTTATTTTGATATGTGCTGTCTGCAGATCTTGCTCAATAAAGACCTTGTACATTGGAAATACCTGCAAAACAATGGATTTCAAAATTTCTGGAAACATAAAAACTTTCCAAAAAGTAAATGGAAATAGAAAGGGCATAAACCGTCTCAGATATTTGATGAATGATTTCTGCAGGTTGTTGACCAGCACGTTGAATGTCACGTATAACTCGTTTGACAAGGTCAAAATGAATTCCACCTGTAACAGATATACGAAGGTCCAGTAGTGGTCGCAACTTCTCACTCAAAGCATAGATACCCTCTAAGATCACAATTCGGGAGCTTGGGACTTCGACTGTCCTGTTATCAAGGTATATGAAGGTGCTAAGAGAGCTTACATGACAGTCACTCAAGTTCTGTTGCAAGGGAAAATGCTAGCTCAGAAGATGCTACTTGAGACGATCAGATCATTACCCAAAAGCAATAATAATGAAGAATAACTGAATAATAATAATCCTTGAGGTAAAAAATTTTGTAGAGGGGGAATAATTGTTACGTGTTGTTAGAACTAAGTAGTTAGTTGTTTCTCGTTGTTGGTTGATTAGCTATTGCTTTGAGGAGTGAATCAGTTAAGCTTCTCTTATAAGGATAACACTGCGTAATCAAATCCCTTTCTTACAGTGGAGTTAAAAGAGGTGCTGTTGAATCTTTCTCCTGAAACTTTACTGGGTAATCTGTTTGCCTAGATTCTTCATAACAGTTAAGCTGAAGGCATTCAGTCCAAAATAGAGTAACTCAATATGCCAACTCAATTGAAGCCAATTTTGAGGTAACTTTGATATAAACTTGATATTTTCATCACAACATGGTACCCATGCACGCTCATGCATTGTGCTAGTGAGAAAGGTAGATCAAACAATTTGGAGTCTTTTTAAAAAGGGTAGAGGAAGGTTGAGGAGAACACTCAATGATATCATTGAATGGAGCCTTTTGGTTAACCACCTACCTAAAGATTTGGTTGTCAATAGAACACAATAGCATTGGGTAGCCGATGCCATGTAATGGAATAAAGCTTCTTCTTGTTGTTTTTTTTGCCTTCAGAAAAAATGATCCCTGACTTGTATCTCAGGAGTTTTCTCAATTCAAAGAAACATATTTTAAAGTGCGCTGACATACAAGATGGCTGGGAACTTACCTGTATCCTATACGAGAACTGGACTTGAAATCATAGATTGGAACCTCAGCTGACTTTCCAGCCTTTAAATCTTGAAGATTCTGAAGCAATGTGTCATAGTCCGTCAAGCGTGGATCTGCTCAAAGAGATAATAGAAGTGACAAAAACATGCAGAGATTATTGTCCTGACTTCAAATTGTTAACCAATTTCTAAATATCAAAGTAAGCACTAATGAAAGTAAGACCGTAAAAAAATAAATATGACAATTCAAAAATCAGGTTGATCCATACATCAAATGTGCGATAATAGGTGTGTATATAAATTATCTTATTCATCCTGATCTCACGATATTGAACTGTTCTTCATAAACGATTCAACTTCCCATTAAATAACCAATGAAGTATAGTTGCTAAATTATCCGTAGAAGTTAAAGTCATTTTTATTTTCAGAAATGAGCTCATAAAAAGGTCTACTTCGCTCTACTTATATCAACCAAAAAGACTTTACTACTAATGTAAAAATCTCATTTGTTCTAAATTAATTTGATGCCATCCAACATGAAATCTTTTACAATAACAATTTTCTTATCACATCCATCCTTGACATTCCATGTATCCTGCATTCCAACTAAACTATTAACCCTAGTAATAACTTCTCCTTGGACTATCTCAGCTCTGACTAGATCAGGCCAGACAGCTGACCCTTAAAATACTAATTCCAGCATTTTAGCGAAGTTTAGACACCAAATACGGCATAGAAATCTAAAAAGAGAGGCATGATAAAGGGCCTCAAATGTCCTTCAAGTAAAAGTAAGGCCTGGGGAAAGAAACAGGAGAGACAAAGAAAATGCGATGTGAGTAATATCAGTTCATATGCTGAAAAAATGAAGCTCGATGTGAGTAATATCAGTTCATATGCTGAAAAAATGAAGCTAAGTTCTGTGCCTCATCATTCATTGCCATAATAATATTTAAATTCAGATCTTAGGACAAAACTTCCCCTTCAGAACACCTTTTTTCATTTCCAAACAGTTTAGTCCTCTCCACAACCTTTCCGCTTTTACTTTTTTCTCAGGGTATTCAAACTTGCCTTCATCCAAGAGGAATTATTGTTAGTTTGAAATCTGGGAAGAGTACAAAAATGTTGATTTTCTGAAAGCTGACTTTGCAAATGGCAGTACATTAAGGAATAAACATGACAATGAAGATGTTATGGCAGAAACACAAGAAATCATCATATCCAAGTTTTATCAGCTTTAACATATGTATTTAAACTGCAGAAGTTCCAAATATTACCACTCAACTGTATAGCAAAGTCACTAATGTTTACCAGAATGTGTGTGTGTGTGTGTGTGTGTGTGTGTGTGTGATTGTTCAGAAGGCAAAATAACTTATTGCATCATCATCAGAGGAGCACTATAGATTCAGTCATTCCATGCAACCAGCATTCTGTTAAAGGCACTGTAGATAGTACGCAGAAGGCATCAAAAAGGAAAAGATAAATGCCTTAATTACCATCAAAATTTCCATCAATAATTCGACTAGAATCATTGTAATTGTCCATCGAAATGACTGCAATGCTGGGCATGAAACTGACTATTTTGTCAGTGAATACAGTCTTCCCAGCGCCTGAAGGACCAGCCAATCCTACCAATATTATTCCATCATTATTTTGGGACAACAACTGGCATGCGCGGATTACTACAAAAAAACCCTTCTCAAATGATAGTTGATCTTGGATTGGAGCAATCTCATAGCGATCAGAGTCTTTCCTTTTAACCAAGAAAACTTGATCTTTCAATAGCCCAGGCCGCCTGTGATGTGAATCAACAGCAGAAGTATCTTGTGCCATTGAATAAGCCCAGACTTCTTTCCAACGATAAAGAAATCAACCAAAAATAAACCAGTGAGTCTGTGAACCAATATCTATACTTGGAGGTCATGCATAAATATACAAGGTAAGATCCTGCAATAGCAGCTCCTAATCACACCAAAATGTTTTCAAACATTTTTTTTAATCACAAAATGAGGATCTTTTCACTTTCAATCCCTAATGCCCCATGCAAACCCTAGCTTTGGAGTACTCTATTGAAAATTAGCAATCATATCAATGGAACTGCCAGTTGAAATATTAATTGAAATGTGAAACATAAATTTAAAAAAACAAAAACAAAACGAAGAACATAAACCTCATTCGCTCATTTTTAAAAACATCTGAATTTATATCATCACTTCTTAGCAGTATTCTTAGGATTTCTGCAGTCCTACTCCAGCAATAAAACTATAAAATAAGAATAAAACAACAACAGGAAAATAGCTTAGAGGGAGAAAGTATAAATGCTGCATACAAAGTCTAACCACAATAGGTGAGAAGTGAAAAATTGCTTGCGTAATGATTAACAGAGCCAGAAGACAAAAATGATGCCACGGGTTCCATCCTTAGGACCTTTGGCTATAAGAGGCATAAATGCATATCCGTATTGTACGTAAAAAGATAACTTTATAGACAACAATCATATCGAGATGTCATAACAAACTCATTTGACATGATAAGTCATCCCGGAACTGAAAGCATTACAAGCCATAAAGAAAAACATGCCCAATGTTCAATTAAATGACCCCATGCGGAATCAACTTGTGCCGCGACAAAAATAAATAAGCAAGAGTTAATAAGGAGCGCTCATGGAAAAGCAAGCAGACCAAAACCGGAATCTTTTTGGTAAAACTGAAAAATCGTTTTTAGAAGGTGCATAAGAATAGCGGACTCTAATAATCACGGATACATAATTTTCTCCAAACTTACTCAGCTACTAGCTTTTTGGATTCCATTAATTGATCTCATTTAAAGCACCACATATAACCTCATCTTGAATGCACACCCAAAAAACGAAACAGTCAGCATTTTTATCCAACATAAATAAATAAATAATTGGCCAAGCTACCACAAGAGCGCGGGAAGGATCATCCAGATGATGTCATAACAAAATCAGAGCAAAGCCATAGTTCAAAAGCAACAGCAGCCATGCTTAACCAAGGAAGAAGGACCTTAGAAACTCTGTTCTAGGGGTCTTTCTTGGTCCAAAACAGTGATGGCCAAGCAAAACGTCGCAACAGGAACAATTATGTATTCATAAGACAGGAAACAATACAATCTTTAACAGAAAAAATGATACCCAGAAGAGAATGTGAATCAGAGCTCACGCACTTCACACGTTCGTAATGATCAAAACACTCACCGAGGCTGTATGTCTGTCTCAAGGACTGAGTTCAGCAACAACAGCCAGAGCAAGCTGGGAATCCCCTCAAGGTCGGTTCTGCAAGCTGTGCATTCAAATTATTCTCTCTGTAACACCCTCGCAACCTTGCCGCTAAAAGAACGGAATGTGATTTTCCTGGATTTTTTGACGAACAAAATATTTTTACAGAATCAATAAAACGATCTAGATAACAATATATGGAGACAAAAAGAACCCACTTCCGAACTGCGCAAGTCAAGCTGGTATGTGTGCGCATATTTATGTAACTTTTGTTCATTAGAAGTCAATTCACCGGCGAAATTTTCGTTCCCGTTCATTAATAAATTTTCAGGTTAATATAAATTTTTTATTCTTCTAATTTATTTTTATTTTAGTTTTGATTCTTATAATTTTAAATTATAGATTTTAGTCTTTTAAATTTTCTTCATTTAAGATGTTAACCCATATATTTGAAAAAAAAAACCCGAACTTTCTTTGTATTGAGAAATCAAAATGTATAGTTTGAAACTATATGAATTAAAACTGAAATTAGGCAAAATATAAAGACCAAATATTATATTAAAATTTAAATCTTTTATTGTATTAAAAATAAAACTTAGTGTTTTTTTTATCGTTTTTTTTTTCATCTTTCAACTTGTGAAAGGAATTTGCAAGCGGAGTTCTCAATCTCACCTAAAATAAATATAGGTGCTTGATGTCATCTTAGAATTACTATAAAATTATAAAGAAGAAAGACAATTATTAAAAAGTTTTATTGGTAAGCAAGCAGTTGAAACTCGTTATCATTTTTAGTTCTGAAATTATTATTACAAACTGCTCAATTATTATGAAACGTTTTTTTTAATATATTTTTTGGGACCTTATTGCAACTCTCACTAATGTGATTAACCTAAATTTTGAGGATTAAATTCTAATTAGTTAAAGGAGGTAAAAAAGTTCCAAAAATTGAGAGCCTAACAATTCATATCCATAAACATAGGTTCGAATTTTATTTTGTCATTGAGATATTTATTTTTTAATTACGAATTATTTTGTTTACTAAAGATAATTTTATTGTGTCAGTAGAGACTTTTCTCAATAAAAATTTTAAGATTGGTTGCTCACAATATTATTGAGATATTCATAAGCAAGCTTTGAGGTATATGGCGGTGTTATTGAGCTTTCAAAAATCAAAACACAATTCACCTGTTTTTTTTTTTTTTGGCTTTGAAAAAATTCAAGACCTGATGGCTTTCTCTTTTTTTTTTTTATATATAGTGTCAGCCTATCAATTGAGATGATATTTTTAAGACAAGCTTTCAATGATTTTTGAAAGAAGCTTTCAATGATTAAAAGTTTAATTTTAAGTATATAAAATAATCGGGCGAATAATCTATGAGAATCTTTATTGGACTCGATCATCTTCTTCATCATGACCACGATGAAAATTTATCCATACGCACGTGACACCTATATTTCAATTATTAAAAGTTTTCTTTAATTAAAATTATTCAGCACCAATAAAAATAAACTTGACATTTATCTTTATTTTTAGAATTGATTTTGCATTGAAAAATTAATTTCTATCTCCAAGTGTAAAATAATGAATTCAATCTTGCTCCAGTAGCAATAAATGATGAGAGTTTTTATTTTTTATTTTGGTTAGTATCATTTCTCTTACACTTTGATTCATTTAATTTTAGTTTTGTCCCCTATACTTTCAAATTATCGGCTTTAATTTTTATAATTTCATGAGAATTTTGATATGAGTTTAAGTATAGCTGTATAGGAACTAAAACCAAAATTTATAAACAGTATATGGATTATTTGTTAAATTTAGACAAAAATGCATAAATATTATAGACAAAATGGATCGGGATTTATATTTAGAATCAAATAAAAATTAAACAAGATTCTATTAAGGATTAGAAGTATTTTAAAACTACAAAGATCAAAAATAAAGTTTAACCAAATTAGAAGAACTCACAATAGAATTAATTTTTTTTAATTTGACCTGAGTAAACGACGTGAGGTGGAAGTTGGAAACTGGAAGATCAAATCAGGAAAGAATTGAACAAGTCATAACTCACAAGTCAAAAGTATTAAAGTTGGCGATTTTTTTTCCATAGAATTAGTAATACTCCTCCCATCTTCATAAAACTCACTTAACTAATTTGATTAAAAAAGTTAGGTAAATAGTTAATTATAAAAAAAGTGACACGTTTTTCCTAAAACATCATAATCATCTTTTTTAATACTCCTCTCCCTCTTATTTGATTATGGTTGAGAGAGTATTCATAGAGAGTAATTAGATAAAACTGATAAATATGAGAAAAGATCTTATATTTAGGATCAAAACTAACTTAACAATTGGGTTCTATATTAAGAACCAGAGGAGTAATAAAAAATAACATTCTCCATTGTCAATATAACTCAATTTTTTTAATAGAGCGAACATTTTTCACATATAATAATTGGACCCAGCACGCGATATTGTTTAGAAATTATTTTCATTTTCATCTTCGTCCCTAATAAATACTACAAATTTGCAAAACATAAATTCCCCATCCCCTCACTAGAAATTGATGCTCCACACGCTTTAGTATTAATAATAATTAATTAAAATAATTTTCAAATGTGAAATTTTTTAGGAAGACAATTTATATAAAAGACAAGTGAGAGTAACAATTAAAATAGCCTTTTTATCACTTACGTTGACATCAATAATAAGACTCTCGTTACTTAAACTTCACTTTGTCATATTCAATGACAAAGAATTCAATAATTATTTTAGAATTATGAAATTTTATAATATTTATTGTGGGTTTTATTGTCAAAAGAACCTAACATTTATTTAAGAACTTAGGTGCAAATCTATGTGCAACCCTTTTTTAGTTGTGCACGGCATATATTTAACTATGTGTAAACAAAAAATTTACATATAATTAAAAAAAAAAGAATTGTATTTCATCCGCTAAATGATCCAAATTCTTGAGTAGCTTTAGACAACAAATCTTGCCATGGGAGATTTTTGGCATTATTTTTTATGGCAAGTAACAATCATCTCAAAGAAGACAATGGGAGCTAAAACCATAACCACTATTTGTGACTTTGAAGGAATCTATTCTTTCTTTTCTTTTTTTTTTCTTTTAAAAAAATTCTATTAATCCACTTGAAGGAATCTGTTCTATAGTTACATTGATGAGATCATCTCACACTCCTACCAACCAAAAGAAAAAGGAGTAATTCAAATATTCAATATAGGTTTCGTACGGAGTTGAAAATTTGGATTAGGGTTGCGACTTCGAGACAGAGAGATCCTTGTCAATTTGTCATTGAAAACAATGCAATTCCGTTGGAGAAATGAGGAGAACCAGCAACTTGCTGCTTAAGCCCAACTTAGTACAATAATATGATGGTTATACCATCAATTTTTATACTTTTGATTATTTTAAAAAAAAGAATTATTACTTTTTTTAGATCTTAATATATAAGAATTAATATTATGTAAGATCTATTTTACATGTTTATTATTTTTTAAAAATTAATTTTATTGATATTTTCTCAATATTAACCAAGGGGAAGAAGGAGGGAAGAAATTAAAAAAGATAATTAGAGTGTTTTAAAAAATATATCATATTAACTAATACAACTAACATCCTTAATCTATTCAAATTAATTAATTAATTAGGTTTTACATCAAAAGCCAAATGAATGATGGTTAAAGGGTATAATAGGCATGGCCAACGTTTTTCTTCTCTCTTGACGTTACCAAAACCTTGCATGTGACTTCTTGCCATTAATATAACTCATTGTTTTTTCTTTTCTTCAAAAGACTAGCTGCTTATATCCATTTGAAAATCAACACAAATGAATAAAAATATAAAGAGATAATTCTAGAAAAAAAATCTAAATACATGCTTTTTTGTATTTAATTTAAAATTTATGATGAATAGTAATATTTTTTCAAAAAAAAAAATGAAGTTGAGGATGATCTCTTTTTTTGTGTCATTTTCCTTTTAGCACATTAACTACAACTAAGAATCACAAATTTATAGATTTCAAAAAATCATTAAGCTTTCGGATGAAATTGATTTTTTCAATTGTTCTTTGAAGAAAAATTATCCCATTAATCGGGTATAATGATATCATGCCATTTATTTCACCGACTCCAGTTAATGAAAGAAGACTCATCACTATTGTTCTGCCTATTGGAGCTGTCAATTCCACTCGTAATCCTCTCGGGCTTTTGAATCAAATGCATTTTTTCTTCATCTGACTATTATTTCTGGATGCATCTTCTACGCTCCCTTTCGCGCTTCTTTCTCTGTTTATTCCTTGTTCACCTCATATCTCCTCTATGTTTTTCTAGGCAAGGCTAAAGTCCATATTTCCACAAGAAAACAAGCATGCTCGTTTACCAGTGAAATCCTAGACAGTGATAGATGACTAGCAAAGAAGATGAGGGGAAAATTAACTGGCCCCTGAGATGTTAGGAAGCTATAAAATCTTTGATCAACCACCATGTCTAAAGAGAGATGGGGGATGATGAGAGGGTTATCTTAATCTGAAGCTGTTAGCCTTCGTTTTGATTTAGAGTATTTTGTAATTAATATCTTGAATTCAGTTTCTTTCCCAAAAAAACAATAATCGATTTTTTTTATTTTTGGACTACAAATCATTGATTTTTCAGTGATGAATATCTGCTGAATCAACGTGGGGATGTGAATATTCTTTATCAAGACACATACGATCTCTCTCAATTCAAACCAAGCAGAAGCTATATTTCAATCAGCACTGGCTTCTACCGCTCGAGAAGCATCTTTCGAAAAAGAGAAGCAGCTTCAATCATGGACGCAAAATTTGGTCTGAGAAAAATGCATTTCTTACAACACGAGAGAAAAAAAAAAACTCAACAAACAGATTCAATCCAGATGTGTATTGAGGCCAAAAGTTCTGTCACTGGTTAACTGCCAGACTTCACAAGCAAAGAACCACAAGAAGTAACACATTAACTAAACCCCTTGCAGGGTATGTCAAACATCAAAGGAAGCTTTCAGGATCCACATGATAGGGACCTCTGATACATCACGCATCAAGGGATATCAATCCCTTGTAAATGCAGATAAGAAGAAGTAATACCAGAAGTTACCGCAAATGTGAAATTTATTATCTTTGTGACTTGCGTTGATTGATCTAGAAACCACCGATTAAAATGCATGATTTAACAGGGATAGACGGTGAAACTAATTTAACCATAAGACTCGTTTTAGCTGAGGCTTTTGGTAAATGATATATAATTTAGCCAGAAGACTCTTTTTAGCTGAGGTTTTTGGTGAATGATATATCCAAGATAAAGACACAGTGCAATCCGTATAGCAATCCTACACCTGATGAGATATGACTTGTCGTTATGGTACATACAGAAGAGGGAGCTCTCAGGGTAACCCCAAGATTTCAATTTTTCTCTTGGTATGATGTTATATAGCTGTTTTGCATCTCTTACTCTCAAAACTTACACAAACCTTGTATATGAATTTTAATTTCAGCTCTCCTCATAATTAAATCCTGCCATTTCCGAGCTTCTTTTTGTAATTGTACTCGAACTCAATGAGCAAGCTAATTATAGCCATCAACTAGAAAACCAAGACATCATGATCTAAAATCAGTAAACGTTAAAACCATAGACATTCTTGTTCGAAGTCTTGCATGAGCAAACTATATATTTCAGAATTGAAGAAGAAAACAGCCTAGCATAATGTCATAGTTGATTAATACATCAAGTGTACAAATCAAATTGAGAAAGATGGTCCTTACTCCGACCAAACTTAACAGGAAGTTCATCACCTTTTTCATGGCTCAAACTTAGGTCCAAGCCCGGTAAGACATCTCTTTGCATTAAACCCTTCACCAGAGACACCACAGAAGCATCAAATTCAGGCCAAGAAACGCATAAAACTCCTCTGATATTCAGAATCTGGCATCGCCCCAGAAGGGCAGCACTCAACCCATCGACGACGCTCCCAGAAGGATAATACTCCAGACCCTTCAACAATTTCTCATCAACCCCACTTTTCCTCTCCGCCGAAGTCTCCAGCTTGAAGGCAAACGCCTCGTCCGACGACAACCGACTGCGAAAATTCTGGATCCGAATTGAATCCAAAATGACAACCCTTTTAGGCGCAATTCGATCACCAATCAGAAGCTTCGCCACAGAATGAGACCGCTCGGGGGAGACAGCACACTGAACGGATACAACAACAGCATCGTGAGAATCGAGGGAGTAGATGTTGCAGGTGGCGTCGGTGAGAGAGGGCTCGATAGACTTGCCGGAGAGAGGGATCTCAGGGAGGATGAGGGATCCAATTAATGTTTTATGGGGGAGAGAGTGGAAGAGATAGAGGGAAGGGGAAGAAAGAAGAATGATGAGGAGGGAAGGTCGGAGGGATTGAAGGTGACGGTCAGAGAACAAGAGAAATGGAGAAGGAATGGGTGGGGATGGAGAAGTGAAATTGCTGAGGTCTTCTTCGGAGAATCTGGAAGGAGGAGGAGCTTCTGTAATAACATCTTCCATTTTTCTGATCTTTCTTCTTCTTCCGCAGTAGCTCAGCTCGCAGCAGCAGATCAAGGGCAACCAAACGAAACAAGAACTCGATGGCTTTTTCAGAAGTAATAAGAAAAAGAAAAGTTGAATTGAAAAAGCTCTTTTGCTTGTGGTTCAAGTTGGGTCGGCCCAATGCATCCGGGCTGGGTCGTATTAGAACGGATGAAGGAAATTATTTTGCTTATTAGTCCATATGGTTGACCCTCATTTTCACTTCACTCCCTATGCTTTATTAAATCGTTCCCTAGAATAATTTGGAGGGTTGCGGTCCTTATATTTTCATGCTCCTATTTTTTTTTATATTTTATAATTTTTAATATAAGAGTTAATTGACTAATTTAAAGAGATTAAAAAAAATTGTTAAGCAAGTTATTTATAATAAATAGATGTTATTCACAAAATACCCTTACAAATTATATGTATTAGTTAAAACTATCATTTGACAGAATATTTAACGAGTACAAATACTATAAGAACTACTTTTAAAAAATAAATAAATATGAAAAATAAAATAGATAAAAATTTTATATTTAAGAATAAATTAAATGTCAATTATATTCTTATATTAAAGACAAGATATAATATGTTATTTTTGTTAAATTTCATGGTTTATGGAGTAAAGGACAACTGTGAATTTTCTCTGAAATTTCGTGTGCTGATCCTTTCTCACAGTTAAGTCCGCTGTCCTGCCGATTTGTCCGCTTAACTGAAACTCACAGTTATCTTCAATGCTGTAATGACTAAATCGGAATGATCGGTCAGCAAGTTACTCAGAAGTCATATAGGCTCATTGACTGAATCTGGTTGGCTACTAATTCAGCTACATACATTGGTTGATTGGGCGCATTTATTCAACCCTAGATTTCATTAGTCTGCAAAAAACTAACGAAAGACGACAAAAAACTTGGTCCCATCTCAAGTCATGCGCCGTTAGTCCCTTTTGTCCTTTTTTCCATTTTTAAATACCTTTATTGATCAACTCTATATATTTTTGGCCCGCATGCGTGTATATATATTAGGACCTGCATTCACACGAATTGCATCTTTTTTTTTTTAAGAAATTGTGAACTAAAATAAATTGTGCTAAAATTTCACAGAGGATTAGATTGTAAATCTAAGAAATCAACTTAAAAATATTAAAATTTAAATTTAGATATTTATTTAAAAACTTAAGAAGTTTATATTTTATTTGTAAATATTAAAGTATTAATATGTTAAAACGTTGAATTATAAATGTAAGAAAATTATCTTGTAATTCTTAAAAATTTTTTTGTAAATATGTGATATTTAACTAATAAAAGCTAAAGTATTAATAACGGCCGCCGGCCCTTTCAACATCAATGAAAGAGGGGAGGTCAAGGAATCTATGTCCTTTTATAGCAAACATCAATTGCAATCAAGTCCTACATCCTTTCAAAATATACTTTTACAAAAAATTAATATTATAATTTTTAATTCTAAATTTTTAATTTTCTTTTCATTTAAAATATTTTAAAATATTACTTCACATAATTTAACAAAAACTTGTATCATCTTGCCTATTGAAAAATTAAAACATATAATTTAAAACTTGAGACAAAAACAAAAATTCGTGTAGACGTGAGGATCAAATATTATCAATCTTTTTACTAATTAATGAGACTTACATGTATATACGTCTTGGGACCCATCCATAGCGAGCCCTAAGATCATTAGTCACCGTGAATTCTGCAAATTTCATTTTGATAATTGATAACGGCACAATAACCAAGAGGGGCTTGTATCCGGCTGATTATCAATCAAGCTACCCCACTAAAATGAACCAGTTTACTCGCCAAATGTTTTCCTTTTAATCAAGACTTGAAGCTTAAACAATCTCAGCATTAAGTTCGATATTCACTGTACCATAGAATAATTTCTTGCACCCAAGTCCAAGTCTAAGAATGTTCCTCCCAACAAATAAAGTGCATAACATTGAACCCCAAAAGGAAAACAAGGGAAGACAAAATGAGGTATAGTTCTTCATACCCAAGAGAAAAGCGAGCAAAATCCTTCACAGCTCGCCGTTGAAATCAGGAGTGGATGACAACGACTCAAGCAAAACCAATATCGTTACAACAAATTGTGAGCTGCAGACTGAAAATCAGAGTTGAGCCACGTAAATCAAAAGTTTAGACGAAGATTGAAAATTCTCTCCATCTACTTCCTCTTGAATTAGTAGTATAACCACAACCCTCCACGTGGAGATTACGTTGATCCACAAGATTGTCGTGGGAGCCAAGGGCAAGGGCAAAGAAGAGGTGTGGATCTTAAACAATTCTTTTATCTGCAAGAAATAACCCAAACTATCGCTCAAATCAATGGCAGTAACAAAATCCATGTGTAAATAATTTATTACTCCTCCGATCCTAAATATAAGACCCTTATACACACTAGTATAAGGGTCTTATATTTAGGACCGGAGGAGTATAATCTTAGCGGGTTTTATCTCCAACTAACAAAGGAATTTTACAATATCTCGTTTGCCTTAATTCCAGTATACAAATCAGTGAATACAAGACAAGTTCGGAAAAAATAATAATAATAAATCAGTGAAGACAAGCACAAAATTACTACACAAAAAACATGCTGGGCGAGAAAGGGTCAAAACTCGGCTCTTTATGGAATATTTTTGCAATTTCCTTTTTAAATTAGACCATCACTTAAGATCTCTATCGTGTATAGTAGCTTTTCACCAATTGAATCTCACCTATGTCTTCGGTTTAGGTTATCCATGCAAATCCTTCTCTCCTGCTTAATCTTCATGTTCATCTTCATCTTCAGAATCTGCATAAAAGATGAAGAGAAACAACTTACAGACAGATACCAGTAATTCACCAGGAAATAGGAACAGAAAACTAGATAAGGATATTTCATACTACCTCCGGTACTAAATACAAGACCTCGTTTATAAATTACAAATAAGGTCTTATATTTAAGACCAGAAATAGTATTTAGGAATTAATAAATTGCCATTCATTAAAATTAAGATAGAAACCTGCATTGGAAGCATGATAATTAATTGAAGCTATTCTTGATTGAAATTGAGACTCGGACAATTAACCATTATCAAACACAACAACTAAATGCCTTCGCCATAATAAACGCATCGAAGTGTGCTGCGTAGGCAATGACCAGCACTTCATAATCACAATCATTTTTAATATGTGTCCACTTCCATAGCGCATGATGGGGAACAGAATTTGCAGAGAGCAATGTTCAAATCAGGAAGCCACGTATAAAACACATTCATGCTTACCAGATCGAACATCTTCACTAAGTTTGCCTCTAGCTTGGATTTGTTTAACAAGCATCCGGTAGATGAGCACCCACCAATAAATATGCAGTACAAGCAAGCAGTATAGAAGGCTATTGAACACATAATAGTATATTGGACCATCAACTGGGTGCTTTTCCTTATCCAAGGTGAGTACAACCTCATAACTGCCATAGAGAAAAAGAACGACTAATTGAAAGAGGTGTCAAATGATACGATATCCCAATTTAACTGAATAATTAAATTTTTTGCAAAATCAGAAATGATATTTGTATTATTTTGTTTCTGTAAGAAGTTTGCTGAAAGATTTAGTCACAGCCTCTCATGAATAAGTATCACTTTTCTAGTTCTGTTCACGCTAAGTTTCAGCTTTGAAGATTCTCTTAACGAAACTACAAAATGATCAATGATACATTTCATGCCAACTAAATCAAAACTTGAAACACAAATAACTGATTTAAACATATGGCTGCATCTATTATTGATATGCAATAGCATGAAGAATCAAGTAGGAAAGCAAATGGATTGACAGTATGAAACCACAGAGCGCAAAATAGGTGACATATTCCAGGTAAGTCTATAAACCCCTCACTCAATAACGGTTACTCCCACATAATGCAGAATTACGCAATTTTTAGAATTTAAGAGGAACTAAATAGACCAGTTGAACTGGTCTACTGGTCTAAAAATAACCCCTCAGACCATTTCAAATGAAATATCAGGATTCATCAAATTCTGACACAGTGCAAGATAGATCCCAGTTCAAAAAATGTTTATATGGAATCAGGCAAGGAACAAAGTGTCAAGACAAAGCATAACAAAAAAATCGTCACACAGTCACTTCAGAATCTTCCTAAACTAGTATAAAAATCATTTTCTTTAGTTTCCAGAAATCATTGAAATGTTTTCGTTTCAATGAATTGAACTAACATGACAGCATGACCAGCACACTGTGACATGGATGGATGACCCAACCAGAAATCTGTAGCTGTTCTGCAAGAGGACCAGGCTATGAATTGTTATTCCTTAATATATAATAATCACCAAAAAGCTCCTCCAATGTTGAGCATTTAATTTGTAAAAGCAGAAAACGCATCAAATGCTACCCATAGCTTCATTGCATCGAAGTTAATTGAAGACCATCAGTTCTATTAACAGTCAACATGAATTTAGGGAGAATAACTAATTTTTAGCTGCACAGCACTTGAACCAGTACATTTTCAACACCCGGAAAAAAAAGAAAAAAAAAGAACTAGCAGATGTTCAACTTTGTTAAGAATGCAAGAAAATGTAAATTACCCCTAGATTACAAGAAAACTTAACAGTAAAACATTAAACAGGTAAAGACAAGAAAACAAACAAGTGAAATGAGTACATAACTTATACAAACCTTGTACTCCAAAGGATCCAGAATGGATAATAGATGAGGCGCAATATGATCCAAGACAGAACGAAAAGAATAAATGCAATGCTAGCAATCATTTCAGCACCAATGTACTTAGACAATTTCCCCATCTCCAGAAATACATCACTAGCATCATGAAGCGCCAAAACAATTGATCCAACCCTAGCAAACCTGAAAAGAGTGAAGACAAGAAAACACAATGCTGTTAGATTGCCTTTTTAAACAAAAGTGTATATATAAACATATAATTTTACATTGGAGCTATAATTGCCACATAATTGCAACTGTAAAGTCAAAGGATTTCACAGAAGCTCCAGGCTCTTATCCTATCCCATTTAGATACATGCGTTCCATGAAAGCCAGAAATTAATTTATCTGGTTATAAAGCCAACTATTTCACGGTTAACTACAAATAGTTTCCTATAAGATCAGTAGCACCCCTTCTTCTTGTTTTTTTTTTAACTGACGGATAACAGCTAATAAAATTCATAATATGACATAACTTGTCATTGATGATGCTAAGATGTTAAGTAAAATGAGTTAAATTACAGACAACAGATATTGATGTTCTTAAATCTTGATATCTTTTAGCTCTTTTTAAGAAGTTTAAGGTAAATTTAAACATATCAGACAGCAACAAATAATGCCAACAAAAGTACAATTCATAACACCCTTTAGAAATGCTTGGATAACAAAGCAAGCAGAACTGCGGAATTAAAATGTTAGTTTAAGACAAACAGAAGTTAATGAAAATATACCTAAAAATGTAAGACAGCACAATCAGAATGACAGTGGCAACATGATGGCCCATTGACACTCCAAAGTCAGAGCGCCTTGTTTCCCAAAATATCAAAGCAAATATGGAGTATGTGTAAAATCCAGCAGCAAACATGTAGAGTCCTTTTAATTTCAACCTGAAAATTCAATAGGTTATCACTCTGCTATGCAAAAGTTCACTAGAAAAGATGCAAGAAGGCCAAAAACTACAAAAATAAATCAAACAAAGGAATTGAATAACCACATTAATTTGGGGGGAAGAAGAGTCTTACTTAATCTTTTGATCTGGCCAGACCTGATCACCTGGTCCCACCCAAAAATTTCTTGTATTAGTAAACCAAGGCTCATCATAAGTTACTGTCAAAGCTAGAATTTCTGATGACAGATAATAAACACATTTCCATGCTGATTCCTTAAACTTTCTAATCTTCTTCCTCCTCTCAGCTGTCTCAAAATCCAGCATCTCATGCCCCTTTCCAAAAATCAACCACCTGCCCACTTTCTGTAAATAGAATTTACTTAACATTGACTAAACAGAACTGAAAGGTTGAAAACATTGACAGACATAATTGCAAATGGCCAAGTTTTGCCAGTTATTTCAGTTTGGTTGAAATATAAAATCTTGTTGTCGAGCATAGATTGATTTATTTGTAAAGTGGGGAAGGGGGAAAACCGCTAGTAAATTAGATGAGTCTTAGTAATGGTATTTGTCATATCAAGGTTCATCGAGTCTTTAATCCTCAAGAGAATCAGTACAATAATTGTTAAGCCTGAAAAAAATATCACACCAAATGGTATAACGCACATCTGAATAAGCAATAACAGGAAGATAAATTCAGCAGCAAAGATGCATGAATATTCAGAAGGGCAGTTATTGGAGCCAGAATACTACTTGAGAGGTAACCGGATCGTTATGAGCATTGAGCATCAATGTCCTAGACTTTTTTGGAACATATAACTATTTCTAGGTCCTACTTTTTTGGAACATATAACTATTGTTCAGATAAAAGAAAAGCAGAATTGTCAGCGACTTGACACATTCATTTGCGCACCAAGATTATACACAACGAATAGAAAACAATTTTAGCATAGGTTTTAAATAAGCCGAAATGTTGGAGAAAAAACAGTTTTGTTTGCTACAAAAACCAGCAAGTCGGCACCAACATTAAATGCACACTAGTTTTAAATTTTTAAAAAACGCCACTGCTCGAATGATGAGAAAGGAAAAGAGAGAAAAATATGTAAGGCAGCTAAGTTCGATTATAGAGTGAGCACACAATTCGCATAAACATCAAGTTAAAACCGAATCAAGAGCTATTTAAGAATTGAATGCTCGCCTGTGTACATCCAATTGATGCCCAATAACAAAGCAATCATAAGCATGTGAAAAGCAGCAAAAACGAATCCAATTCACCAGTAACAAAGGAAGAAGATTCTTCTGCCAAATCCTAATCAGTTCACTATGGAGAAAATTCACAGACAAATCTCCAGCTAAAACATGTAAAAGCAAAAGGTCGAGATCACGTGGCAGAAAAACCGTTACATTAATGTACAAAACACAATACCTCCAACACAAATCTGTCGAGGAAAAAACGCACGGAGGGGAAGAGGAGGACGAAGAAGGGGAGAATGGCGAAATCCTCATAGGCCGGGTAAGATTCATGGTGCCAGTCAACGGAGCTTAGTGGCCGAATCCAATCCATGGCAGAATCTCGGAGGTTCAGAAAATTTCCTCGAGAAACAAACAGGAGAAAGAAATGAATCAATCTAGTCAATATGCATGAAGATAGCGGAAAGACGCGAGGCTTTTCTTATCGCTGCAGCCTGAAGGTGAAATGAAACGGTAGCCCACGGGAAGCAGATGCTCGTTTGGACTCAAATGGCTCGATTATTGTTTATAGTGGCCGCAACTTAAAAAGAGGCATTTATATTGATTCCCGAATCTCAGTGGATTGACAAAATTACCCCTATCCGGCGATAGGGGTCAAGATTCAAGGTTTTATGTCAATATTAACAATTAATATTTTCCGATAGATGCCTAGAGTTTTTTTTTTTTGGGTCAAATAGATACATACCTAGAGTAATATATAAATTTTATCATATATCTCTTTTAATTTAGGTCCTCTTCATTCTAAAATTCTAGTTTCATTTCTAATGATTGACAGTAAGATTTTGTCATTTTGCAACATATAAACAATTTTATTTAAGACTTATCTTTTTGCCCTAAATGTAAATATTAAATAAGTTTTTAAAGATATTAAAAAAATTAGTTAGATTATTAATTATTTATAATAATTGTGTATTTATTTTGTCATACCTAGAGGTTAGATGATGGCTAAATTTAATTTGAATAAAAAATTTCAAGTCATTTTATCTTTTATATTTATTATTTTTTATAAATTAATTTATCTCATTTATAAATTGATATATATAATATAATGTTACATGCGAGTATTTTAAAGAAATCACATTACAATTTAATTTTTTTAATATGCTCAAAGTAAAAAAAAAAAATTTTATATTGGGAATGGGATATACTCCTCCGGTCCTTATTATAAGACCTCATTTGACTTTTTATTTGGTCCTAATTATAAGACCCCAATCCATTTTGTCTCTTATATTTATGCATTTTTTCCAAGATAATCCTTCTAATAATGATAGTTTTAGCCAATATACTTAATTAGCAAGGATATTTTAGAAATGACAACACTTATTTATTATAAATAACTAACTTAACTTACTTCCTTAATCTCTTCAAATAAGTCAATTGGGTCTTATAATTAGGACAGGAAGAGTATTATGTATGTGTGTATCCTTGTGCCTCGTGTGTTGGATAATTATTTATACGTATAATCAATTATCTACAACATGTGTGATAAAGTGTTCATGATAATAACAACTTGCAATGGATAGATAAATAAATAAATAAATAAGTGTGATCACATCACTGTAAATACTCAGAGATCCTTTTCTTTATCAGCTTAAAAATCCTGAAATAATCATATTTTATTGTTGATATTTAAAAGCAACACAATTGACCACCAATTGGGATGGGCTAATCAAAAAAGTTAGTCGCTTTTTAACGTGCAAACTAACGTTTGAATTTCCCTTAAAATATGCTTACTTTTACTGCTTAATAGGATTCCAAACATTTTTTTTATTTTTATGAAGGGTTTTTCCTTTTGAAACTTAAAGCGCAAATGATTTTTATTTCTCTCAATAAGTGCGTTTTTTAGAATTCATATTTATGTCCTTTGTCTTATTGAGGCGAAACCACTTATCTCCTCAACTAATAATTTGTTGATGTATCTCAAACATATTTTTATTAAGAGAACATTTGTTCTTAATTTGAAAATGGATGATATTATAAGGATCTCTTAATTCAAATTGAGTTTCTGTTAAGAAAATAGAAAATCTTTTCTTATTTTTTCACTGAACGAGAGAATTTAATTACGCGTAAACGTGATGAATAAATTGTTGGCCAAAAAGAATAAAAATGAAGCTTGAGACCATACTAACTGTAACATGAAAAAAAGAAGAAATTTTTGAAAATATTCAAGATTAAAAAGTTATACAGTATGTTTTTGTTTTTAAATGAGTTCAAAAGTTTTTAATAATTTAAATAATAAATTTAAAATTTCATTGACTTATTAAAAAAATTTCTAAAATTATATGGAATTATATATTTTGTTAAATATTTTATATAGAATAGTATATAAGATATAAATATTGGTTATTTAAGCAAAGAGAATGCATAGTTTTTTTTGGCAATAAAATATAATATATGGTTAATGGTTATTACATTAAAAATATTGAATTACTGCACAAGAAGTTTCAGGAAAAGTGTAGGAAAAGTTAAACCTCATTACTTCATTTATTAATGATGTTGATTGATGGAAAAGTTTAACTCTTGTTAATTATTAGTAGACTAATTCAAAGATGAGATTTTGCTATTATTTACATTTTAAAAAAAAATTGATATTTATTCATAAGAATCAGATAGTAAAAGACAGAAGTATCCTTGGACGGGGAACTATCATGTGCGCCACCACAAGGGTCGCTGTTAACGCGGGGATCGTTATAGCTGTCAAAAAATCATTATTTTATTTCTTTATAAATTAATTAAAGTGGCATAGCTTATACTTAACTCTCAGTTATTGACCAAAAAAAACTCTCAGTTAATATATTTTATTTTATCTGATATAAAGAAATGAAATATGTTTTTTTTAATTTTATATCAAATGTGATTTAGTTTGTAAATTAAAGTGATCATCGTTAAATAAGAATAATTGTTGGTATAAAGTTGAAATAATTTAGATAAATTTTTCATTGCCAATAGATTATTGTTTAACACGTTTATCCTTAATAGATTACTGTTCTACGGGGGCACGCTCACATATTCACCTAAGAAAAAAGGAAAAATATTTGAAAATTAAGAAAAAAAAACATCTATCCTTTTACATATATAAATAAAGTTAATGCAAATCAATTCAAGTGGACTGAAAGCCAAACTAAGGGGGTGTTTGGATGAAACTAAATCATGGTTTGGAGAATAGCTTCTGGAGAATAGATTCTGGAAAAAATAGATTTTGTGAAGAATAGATTTTGTGAAAAAGTGATTCTAATAAATTAGAGTGTTTGGATAGTTGTTATCAGAAGAACTTTTTATATGTAGAAATTTTACTAAAAAAACATAAGTTAATATGATAATTACATAAAAGATAGATTTTATAATATATTTTAATTTGAAAAAATAAAATTGTTAATAATATATTTTTTTACCAACATAATTAATAATATATAAAAAATATAATTAATATGTATATATATTTATAAAATATAAGATTAAATATGTTTATAAAAAAATAATTGAGAAATGTTAAAATCATATTATCGTTGAGATCTACTCTACAGGCACAATCATACTCTCCCATTTGAGCCAGAAGCAGAATGGATTCACTTCTTCTGAAATCATGGTTTTGAGCTCCAAACCATGGTTTTAATCCAAAATCATGGTTTCTTTTTTTTCCTGGGTGTTTGGCAAGTCTGGGACCCAAACCATGATTTGGGTCTCAAAACCATAGTTTTTTATGTTATCCAAACAGGCCTTAAATCATTCTCATTACAAACAAACAAAAATCTAATTCCATTTTTTTTGGGTCAAAATTATCTATGAATTCATTAATAATTGTAGTTTATTCGTCGGACTGCAAATAAAGCACATCCAAACAAGTCATAAAAATACAAGGATATAGCAATACAATATCTATATAATTATATAATTTTTTTTGGTAATAATAATTATATAATCTTTTGATTCTAAAAATGACACCTATTTTATAATATAAATTTTACTATAAAATAAATCTTACATTTAAGACCAGAGAATTATAATATATATATATACATTTTTATGCATAATTTATAATATATGACATATGTTATTTAAAATAGTAGCAATTTTATTAATAGAGTCTAATCTAAAAAAAAAAACTAATATCTCATAACATCACAAATCAAATAAATATTTGAGATGTGTCCACATGCAATATTTAATCATACCCCAAATAGAAATCTCCTGAATATGAAAATAGCTTTGAGTAATTAAAAGAGTGAACAAGAATATCATACAAGAGGAGGTTGATGCCGGGACGAAAACGATTATTATATCTATTGGCACAAGCAACAAAGATTTACAACTACTCGTCTTTTAGTAAGAATTAGTTTAATTTTTAATTTAATACTAAACATAAGGTCCTAACTTATTTTATTTTGTATATTTATCTATTTTTTAAAGTAGTTATATATATTAAATATTTTATCAAATGACACTTGATTAGTGAGGATATCTATGAAAAATATTTATTATAAATAACTAATTTAATTAATTTTTAATCTACTCAAATTAATCAACTAGCTTTTATGTTAGTTACTGGATATTATAAAGGAAGCTAAAAATGTTTATATTACTAACATGATAATTTTGTATATGTGTGCGTATCTGAATGGGGAAAAGGAGCCCACACGTGCCACAATGATTTTACGCTTGGGCTGAAGATGTTACGTATGCACACTTTCTATGCACATTCATTGGTTTAGCCACATGGGGAACGCTGGCCCCTCGTGTTGTCAGCATTTGTCCATCTTTCATGACAACCACATTTTAATTCTCTTTAAGATAAAAGTGCACAAATATTCCCTCATTTTTACTTAAAGTACATGTGAAAGCGTAAAGTTAGAGTAAAAATGGTTCAATTGTATTTTCTTAATATAAATATCCTCTTATTAAAAATAATCCTATTTAAAATATTGTTAGCCACTAAATATAAACACTTCTTCTAATAAAAATATAATTTTTATTTACCATATTGTGAGAGTTAACCTTACCGCTAGATTAAACCCTTATTGATAAATAGCACAATTGTTAAAATAACATGACGTGAGTCTTTTTTTTTATAGTGAGGCCCACACTATTTAAAAAAATGAAAAAGAGCAAAGGCACAGTAATATTCATAAATTTTTGCCTAAAGCGTGCCAAATGTCATATGCTTTTGGAGATGCGAAAGTACACATGAAACTATACTAATCAATTTTACCATGCTGATTCAGATTAAGTGAGTTGATCTATACAAATCTCTCCAAATCAATGAAAAAATTTGGGGGGGGGGGGGGACAGAAGCTTCATTTTTTTTTTTTTTTTAACAATCAAAGACAAGCTAAGCTTAAAGAAAAAGAAAACAGTAGGAAGGGACTAATAAGGGGAGAGGAGTAATTTTGCTCACCTTTCCTTATTTGGGTTGCTAAAACTTTTAGTCTAGGAGGAAAAATTTTTCACATAACCCTCCCCTCTCAAACTGGGGAGATTTGAAAGAGAAGGATAATATTTTTGTTTGTTTTGACTAATATGTTTATAATTAATTTTAATATTCTCATATTACCTTTACGATCTTCCATTACATGTAGAAGGGATGGTAACTATTGCAGTACTCTTATCAGATCATATATTATATGATAAAAAATCCTTCCTCTCTCCTCTTTTATTGTCAATCCAAACAAGATAATATTAAAATGCTTCTCCCCACTTCTCTTTTCTTTTTCTCCACTAAAATCTGTCTCCTCTCTTTTTCTCTTTTGAGCCAAACACACCTTTAGCTCTTTGTAATTTTCGTTGATCCATCGACTCCCTTCTTTCCTCCCTTCATGTGTATATTTTTTTTTTTTTGGTGACAAAAGGAGCAAAGCTCAGAACTAAGCACTAATTCTACGGAGAGTCGAAACTCCCTCACGGTCATTCCTCATCAAACTAGTGATCTCCTCTGGAGGTTGATTCCAAATCCTTCTTTGTCGCTCTTGTTTCCTTCCCATCAAGGCTAATTTGTCGGCACAGAAATTTCCTTCCCTATAAACGTGCTTTAATCTGATTGACCAGTCTCTATCAAGCAGTTCTCGAATTCTTAGATATATATTTTGACAATCCTCTAGAACTTCATTTTTTTCCAAGGCCATGATTAGTTCTCGTGAGTCGCTTTCCACTTCCACCATTTGAATCCCAGGTCCCAGCATAGTTTCAGCCCCTCATACATTCCTATTGCTTCTGTCTCTAGCGCATCGACCCAGTAGAGCCTCATAGTGAAGCCACTTAGCCATTCCCCACAATCTCCTCTTATAATACCTCCGCATCCTGCATCATTCCTTGCCATCCACGACCCGTCGACATTCAGCTTGCACCAGTTCGTTGTCGGAGCTGTCCATCCTACTTGTATCTCGCGGGTTTCCATCACTGTGCATGTCCTTCCATCCCAACGCTTGTTGTAGTGATCCAAGTACTGAGTAATTAAGGACGCCGCATTGTGTTTCATTTCAAAGTTCTCTTCGTGTACACTCAGATTCCTCCATTTCCATGCAAACCAGCATCCTACTACAAATAGTTCCGGTCCCCATCTATTCTCTTGCATTTTCCGGCGAGGTTTAAGGTTCTGCAGTATCCAGTTCTTCAAGGATTTGGAGAAGAAGGGTCGCCAAAGTTTCTATGGGACTAGTTTCTTCCATATATGGCTTATGCATGTACAGTCTCTGAGTGCATGTAATATGCTTTCTGGTTCCATGTTGCATCTTCCACATAAAGCGTGTTCACCACTCCACCTTCCCGTGATTTGTCCTGTCAGTAGTCTTCCGTGTGTTGCCATCCACATGAAAACCTTTATTCTCTCTAGAACTCTAAGCTTCCATATGTACTTCCATTTGGCTCTTTCTCTAGCGTCTCTCCCCTGATTTATCCAGTTGTAAGCGCTAGCCGTGGAGAAAAGTCCACTTTTGTTTAGTTTCCACTTGGCTTTTCCTGCCTCCCATTGGATATTTCTATGAAATTCCTCCCACACTCTTGTCATTTCTTTCCACAGCTTAGAGTCGCTTCCTTTTGCTATTAGTTGTCTCCCTTCCCCTTGCTCTCTCCCATATTTGCCTTTTAACACTTCCACCCATAGGTCACTCGGAGTCTGTATCATCCTCCATAGAAGTTTAAGGATAAACGCCTCATTCATTGCTTTTAAGGATTTGACACCCATGCCTCCTTCTGACTTCGGCTTGCATAGTATATTCCACGCAATGGCATGCCATCTTCTCTTCCCCTCCTGTTCCCCCCATATAAACTTTCTCTGTTCTTGTTCTATGTCAGCAATTACTCTTATAGGAATCTTTTCATGCTGCATTGGATAAAATGACATAGCGCTGGTCACTGACTTGACTAGCGTAAGCCTTCCTGCTAGAGATAAGCTTTCAGCTTTCCATCCTCCCAGTTTCTTCCTTATCTTCTCCACGATAGACTGGAACTTTTCTCTTCTTCGTTTCGGGTATGAGATGTTGGCTCCCAGGTACCTTCCCAGCTCCTCCACCTCTTTGAAGTTGCTTATTCTGCAGATTTCTCTCCTAGCACGTCTTTCTACATTTGGTGAGAAGTAAATGTAGGTTTTTTCTTTGCTTAGTTTATGACCCGAGCAATCCTCAAATTCCTGAAAACAATCAAGTATTAAATGTAATTGTTTAGTGTCAGCCTCTGCAAAAAGAACAAGATCGTCAGCAAACATCATATGGGAAATAATGGGTCCTTTTCTACCAGCTCTCATTCCTTTCCAGTGTTTCTCTCTCACTCTATCTAGAATCATGTGTGTGAGTTTTTCCATGCTAAGCACAAAGAGATAGGGGGAGAGTGGGTCTCCCTATCTCAACCCTCTAGATGTTTGGAAAGGTTCCAACTTATCCCCATGCCAGAGTATTTTTGTTTCTGAAGTTCGGACGCAGGCCATAATTCTTTCGATCATACTATCTGGGCATTCTAACTCTTGCAAGATTCTCTCAATGAAGCACCAATTGACTCTGTCATAGGCCTTCTCCAGGTCTACCTTAATCGCCATAAAGCCTTTCTTCCCTTTTTTCTGTTTCATTGAGTGCACCATCTCATTAACAATTATTATGTTATCCTGAATATTCCTACCAGGCACAAAGCTCACTTGGAACGGGCAAACAATTTTCCCCATGATTAACTTGAGTCTCTGAACAATAATCTTTGATAAACATTTGTAGATCACATTGCACAGAGAAATTGGTCTCAGCTGAGTCACTTTTTCAGGAATATCTACCTTTGGTATAAGTGCAATAAGCGTAGCATTTACCTGTTTGATATTCTCCGGATTGTACCAAAGGTTTCTCACCGAATGCTTGACACTTTCCCCCACAATCTCCCAATGTTTCTGAAAAAAGATTGCTGGATATCCGTCTTCACCTGGTGCTTTAAGTCCCCCAATTGCAAACATAGTATTTCTGATTTCCTCATCGCTGATTTCGCCACAAATATTATTCCATTCATCGTCTGTCACTTTCGGCCAAGCATGCTCCGTCTGTGGCCAGGTTCTTTGAGCACTTTCCTCCGTGAATAATTTTTGGAAGAACGTCTTAACCATTTGTCCCGTTTCCTCTTTGCCTTCTATCCATTCATTATCTTCATTTTTCAGCACGTTGACCTTGTTCCTCCTTCTCTTTATATTTGTTTTGGTGTGGTAATAGGAAGTGTTCCTATCCCCATCATTCAACCACTGCGTCCTGGCTTTTTGGAACCAGAGTAATTCCTCTTCATCGAGCAGTTTCCTGAGATCTTCTTGCAGCTTCCTTTCCAAATTTTCCAGAAAGAAGTTGTGTTTAGAGTGTAGTGATCGTTGAATGCCATTCAGTCTTCTTAGGAGCTCAGCCTTCTTCCGTGCAATGTGTCCAAACACGTTGACATTCCAGTCGAGGAGTTTAGGCTCAAGTTGTTTAAGATTCTGCCACACGGTTCTTGGTTTTTCCCAATTTTTCCTTACCACATTTTTGAAATCTTCATGCTTCATCCAACAAGCTTCAAACCTGAAAGGTCTGTTCCTTTTTTCCTTCTGTTTGTTTCCCAAGAATACAATTAAAGGATGGTGATCCGAGCTGATTCTTGGTCCTACCCTTATCCAGGCCTCTGCGAACTCATTCCTCCAGCCTTGATTACATAGCCCACGGTCCAGGCGTTTGAATAATCTGTTTCCATGTGTAGTTAATGGGCCTCTCCAAGTCATTTTTGGCCCCTCTACACCTAATTCAATTAGCCCGCAATTCTCAATGTTCTCACTGAACCTCCGGCATTTTCTTTCATTTATTGTCCCACCTCCTCTTTGTTCCTTTTCATCCCTTATATCATTAAAATCCCCCAGGAGGAGCCACGGTTCCGTGTTACTGCCTGCAATAGTTCTTAAACACTCCCATAGTTCTCTTCGTTCCTGTTCCCTCGGACTTGCGTAAATGGCTGTGAGATTCCAATTACCTCGTCCTACTCCTTCCACTACACAGTGTATGTATTGTTTGTGTTGTGAAATGACTGTTATGCTGATCTTATCATCATTCCAGAGAATCCAAATTCCCCCAGAAAGACCACAAGCTTCCTCAATTACCTGGTGTTTAAATCCCAGTTTTTTGATAGCTTTTTGCGCCTTGCTACCGCTGCATCTAGTTTCCACCAAAATCACTATGCTGGCTTTGTAATTTCTCATAAGTTCTTTTAGAGCATTGCCGAAGTCTCTTCCGGCCGCTCCTCTAACATTCCACGTTAAAATCATGTTAACGTCCATGAGAGGTAGGAAAACAGGCCACTTACAGCAACTTGTGGCTCCCGTTCTCTTCTCGCAGCTCAATCTTCCTCTGTTCTTCAATATGGCTTTCTAATTCTGCTAAGCCCACACCTTCCATTGGGTCATCACTATCTGGTGGTTTCTCCTCCTCACAGCCCATAACTTCGTCTGCATCATTTGGGAGTGAGTCTAGGCCGTTGTTCCCTGCATGATTTTTTGTTCTGCCCCCACTGATGCTCGGAGGCCCATCTTGTGTGCTTCGGTATTGTCCCAATTGGTTCCCTTCGATTAGGCCAGTGTCTATTTCCTTGGGCCCAATTTGTTGCTCCCCCCTTTTTTCGCCCTGGCCTATTTTCTCTGGCCCACTTTTTTCCATCTTCTTTTTCCCGGCCTTTTCTAGTCTTGAAGCCTCTTCTTTTCCCCTTTTTACTATGCTAGTCTCAGTCTCTGCTTCAATTTGTTCAGTTCCCCACCTCATATCTTTTGATGTTTCGATATCTCCTACTTTTTTCCCGCTTGGTTTACGTCCTTTCGAACTTCTTCCCTGTCCATCCGTCATTTTTTTCGGCTGCGTGTCTGTCTGCCCTTTTTTCTCTTTCCCCCTTGGGGCACTGGACATGTCCTTTGGGGGCTTTCGTACCATCCCGTCTTTCTCTTTATTTTCGAAATCCGCTTCTTCAGATTCTAAGGCGGCGTATCTTGAGGTATGGCTCTCCTTGATCAGCCCCTTTATCGCTGACACATTCTGACCCTCTTTTTGCATTGGCCGCCTTCCCCTCCTCGAAGGTTGTGCCAACATCCACTCTCCAAATCGGCTTCCCTGTTCCACTTCCGGCGGTCTGTTCACTCCGTTTTTATCAGCGTTCTTGCTTGCAGCGTCTTCAGCCTGAGTGTTTTTCTGTACTGCATTTTGCTTACTGGGGCAGTGATCGTGGTCGTGACCGAATCTGCCGCAATGGTAGCAAATAATCTGGAGTCCTTCATATTCGATCTTTAGTCTATTCCCATCAATGGTGTATGAACCCAAGAGAGGTGCATTCAAATCGACTTCAACGCACATACGTGCGTACATCGTTCTCGCCCTTGATAGTGTCATCTCATCAACCCTTATTGCAGTACCTATTTTATTGCCCAGGTTGTAGAAGAATTTTCTGTCATAGTAATCACCTGGCAGTCCCGGTAACCTTACCCAGACAGTTACCTTTTGAATCTTCTCATTCCATGGATTGAAGTTCCTCTTCCACGTTTGTACCGTTAGGTAACTGTTTTGGATTATCCAAGGGCCTCCCTCTAACGCCCAGTAATAATCATCCAGTTCCTGGAAGGTAGCTATCATATATCCGTTCCCTATCACCGATAAATCCACATTTCCACTTTTTCCCCAAAGGACTTGCAGTTTGCGCCTCAGTTGCATGAATCCAGTGTTCCCTCCCAGAAGTTTCACGATGAGGGAGTTTTGCCAGCTCTGTTCTAGTCGCCTTCTTTCTTTTTCTGTGAAGTTTATCTGTGGGCCATGATCAGTGTCCAAGACCGTAACTCCCTCCTTCATGGCATTTTCATCGCTGTACAAGAGATTACCATCCCAGGCATCCTCCATCTTGCTGTCCTTGCTTCGTTCCCCATTTTTGTTCGTTTTCGGTTTCAGTGCTTCCCTGTAGGACAGTCGAGGCTCCTCCTGTGTTTCTGGTACCATTTCCGGTTCGACCATCCAGGCTTCTTCTCTTGGCTGTAATGACACCTCTCCAGTGAAGTTACCATCCTTTCATGCGACTTTTCCTCTATTTTCCTCCTTTGTTCTTGTGTCCTTACCTCCTTCAGCTTCCTTTTGTTGTTCGGCACCCATTCCACTTCCTCCTATCTCATTCGTGCTTAGTAAGGGTCCAGGTATTCCGGTTGCATGGTCCTGATCAGTCATTGACCGATCAGGTGGATGCTTCCGGTCATAGGATTCACTGGTATGCATGGAAAACTCAGAGCACTTTCGTAACAGATCCACTTGTTTCTTCAGTTATGGTTTCTTCATGTGTATATTTACACGTCCAGAATTCATATGATGTTAAGCGCACTTTCACTGAAAGTTTATGTGTATCTATCTTTATATGTTTACTCTTTTTATTTCCCAAATAACGCGAATCTCGTTATAAAAAGTAAGCGAATAACCAACATTATATTATTTTAACGATTGTGTTTTTTTTTCTTTTGCTTTTTTTTTCATACGTACTTTTACACACATTCAAAAGACATATGGTGTCCTGTGTATTTTGAGTAAATACAACATATAATTAAATATTTCCCAACAAAAAAAAATGATACAAGGAACATTGAGGGGGGAAAAACGGCAAATTGATCATAAATTTATTAATGAAAACATAATATTGTTAAGAAAATTTATAAAGATCATAAAATATGATTAAATATAAGTTTATAAAAACAATGATATTATATATTCGTAGGACACGGGTTGAAAAAACATAAGTAACTATACTAAATTGTTGAATGAGTCTAGTATTTTTTTTAAAAAAAAAAAACTTGCAACAACTGACCATATAATGCATATACCTACATAGTCATAAGATATGTACGCAGGTTCAAATTTGGGTGACCTTTCCCACCCTTAAGGCGGACAAGACAGGCGCTTTGAATTACCCTAAAAAATCACTTAAAATAAGTTAAATCAAACATCATAAGGTGTTTATTGTCATTGGAAGGGAAAATACCCTAGACTATTATTATTGTTGTTGTTATTATTATTACTACCACTATCTTTAGTCCTTAATATAAAAGCTAGTTGATTAATTTGAATAGATTAAGAAAATTAGTTAAGTTAGTTATTTGTAATAAATAAATATTATTTTTTCTAAAATATTCTTAATAATCAAGTGTAATAGCTAAAACTATCATTACTATAACGATTATTTTAGTAAAAAATTGGATAAATATGAGAGACAGTAGATAAAAATTTTACAGGAAAAATGACAGAAAAAAGACTACCGAATTAGAAAAATTGCACACAGAAACCGGTTTATAAATTTTTTTTCAAAACACATACTATTGTTGTCCAAACACATACTAATATTGTCATAGTCCTTATTTACAATTTTTCTATTTTATCGGTCTTTTTTTGTTATTTTCTTAATTTTATATTTAGGACTAAATTAAAAATTAAATTAATTTTTATATTAAGAATTAAGTCGTAGTGTTACCGAGGTGGGGCAAGAGAACAAGGACCCGATTTTGCACTTATAGGTGAAGTCCGTTGCTTTCATGCTTAGGACTAACCAACACATCGGGAATTAATGAGGTGGTTCCAGGGATAATTGTGTAACGGATGTTGTGAAGTTGATTGATGCATAAGTATGCCAAGACATTGCCATTTTTAGGCGTATGCGTGCAATGATTTGATACGCATAAATTTACTCAAAGTATTGCCCCAACCCAATCTCTTCAATTTGAATTCTACGTAGTCATAAGATGTGCCCAAAATGTTGGCCTAACCAATGGGGTCATTCTAAGAGTTAGGTTATCGTGATAAATCAATATTTAAATTTTTATTAAAAAATATATTCATATTTAGTTCCCAACAATACTAAAAATATTATGCATCCGGTGTCGCTAAATAGATTGTTGAAATAGTGACATTGAGTGTTAATATTGTTAACGATAAGGGGTAATATTGCTACAAATTTAAACTTTCAGAACAAAATTGTACCTTAAAAAGCTTTTGGATGCACAGCGCTCCAAAGTGAAAACTTTCAGAGAAAATTTGTACATTAACCCTTTCTAAAAATTATTTTAAGAAAAAAATAATATAATAAAATATTCTAAAATACTAAACTCACTTGAAAAAAATACTTTAAAATATTAGATGAACTTTAACCCAAATGTAAAACTATAGATAATGATAAATTGAAGAGTCAAGGTACAAATTTACTTATAAAATATTCTCCCATGCACATCTAGACCCTATTTGTTGTTGTGATTGAAATAACTTATAAATACATTTTATGTAAATCAAGATAAAATTCTTTTCACATATTTACCTTGTATTTCGCAAATCACGATTAAAAAACTACTTATAAGCTATTCCAAATAGGTCCTTCATACCATAATTTTTTTCTTAAGTGCAAAAATATACAAAGATTTTACAATGGTGAAAATACCACAACCGTTAAGTGGATCAATAGTAACCGTTTAACAAACAAATCAGTTAAGATAAATAGTACAAAAATATATGTAAAATTTTCTAGTTCACGGTAATTTTACCTGAAGCCCAAAATTTCCAGACAAGGCTACCCCCCATGAGAATATTTACTACTGTTATAGACTATATTATAGACCCAATAATTCCTTGGGGCTCCTTCGTAAATGACGTACGTTCAGCCGTAAAAACCCAAAGCGGACCCAAATAATTAAATTAAAGGCAGGTACGTGCAAAAACGAACAGTGACAAGGGCCCCAAGGTGACATCACCTTTTTTTGTTTGTTTGTTCCGCCTTAAATAATTCTTCTTCTTACTGTCTTTTTTTTTTTTTTTTTTTTCAATGGTAACTGGCATGGTCATCGGCTGTTCGGCCTTAAATTAAAGTTGCCTTTGATTTTATCTAAAAAATACCTAGTTATTTCACTTATTTGTGAGTAAACCTGTATTCACAAACTTTAACTGATTGGCTAACTTCTCTCTACTACCCACGCGCGCGCACGCGCACCCAACGGGCAAATTTCAATTATGATTAAAGTTAGACCCATATCAGGTTGGGCCCCTTAACCTCTGAGGAACGGACATTACAACCGCTTAAAAGACTGTTTTTTCAAGATAAAACTCTTTTTTGTATATTTATTTTGAATTTTTTGAAATTATTTTTTAAAAAAACTAATGGAAACATCCCCAACTGACAATATAACATGAGTTTAATGGGCTTATCCGTTAAAATTTCTAGCTTAAGAGAATGTTTGGCAACCCTCAAAAGTGCTTTTACTCAAAAACACTTTTCCGCAAAACAAAACAAACTCATCCACATATTTATTTCGTAAACCGTAAAAGCACTTTTAAAACCATGGTTTGGTTTCCATCCAAACACTCCCACCACACCAAAAAAGAGGGTTGGCCTCCCCTTCTTTTCCTAAAACTTTTTGTTTTTTTACAAGGTTTATGGGTATCAATCACCTCCAAATATTTTTTTCATTTGTATCCAGTATCTCAGAATATTTTGTAATGCATTCAGTGCTCCAAAATATTTTTTTGGTGGCTCCAGCATATTTAAATATGTTTTTTTGCCTCGGTGCTGAATACTCTAAAAAATATTTTTAGATGCTTGATGCATTTAAAATTTTTTTTGAAGTGTTGAATGTATAAAAAAATACTTCAAAAATACTATCCACATCTAAAATAATATTTCAGAGTGCTGGATACATTACAAAATATTTTAGGTTATTAAATACACTCGACAAAATACTTTGAGGTACTGGATACACTTTAACTCTTTTTTATATAAATTATAAAAAAGAATTTTTTGTTTTATATTATTTTTAAGCATAACCTTTGCTGGCAAAAAAATCACTCATTTGTGTCTCATTTATTTTTTTTATAAAAAAAACTGATTTACTTGTCTTATATAATCTAATGTTACTCAGGAATATTTTGAGGAGGTAATGTCACATTTTCCAATTATAACTAATTTATTTAATTTTTAATCTATTTAAATTAATTAAATAACTTTTATATTAAGAATTTGATGAAGGATAACTTTTGTCTTGTGTTGAAAGCATGGTCTCATGATTGAATAAGATTTTTATATTGACTTATAATTATAAGTTTTATAATGACAGAATGATGATGTAAAATAGATTTTGGGATTAATTTAATTAGATAACTTGATTTTAATGCACAACAATTTGTAACTCAATTTAAAAATTAAATTAAAAAAATGGGTTGGCAGATGAGTCCACAATTGACTTGCGGGGTAGTGGACCAGTTACCTTTTGGCAAGCTAACCCATATTTTCAGATCTAAATAGATTCACACTTCAGTACCAAAAAAAAAAAAAAGATTCATGCTTGATCTTGAGCGGAATTTTAGGTTATAGTAGTATTTCATAGACAATTTTCAGCATTAGGCTTGAAACAAACTCTCACCTTACGTTTGGATGTAGTGATAAGTAGGTGAACAAGGAAATTAGAGAAAGAAATAGGAAGGAAAAAAAAAGAATGGATACAAAGCAGAGGACAAAAAGAAAGAAGTGGAGAGCACGAGGAGAGAGCATGCTTTTTCAAAACTGTCTCAAGAGGGATAAATAGAAACGAGACCTACATTTTATCCACATGATTTTTTTTAAATGAAATTTATCCACATGATATTACTTTTATTGTGAAATTAAACACTTAATTTTTTTTTCCCCCAATTCTGTGTTTTCTCCTATCAAACCAATCATAAAGAGACCTTAATATCATTTTGCCTTTTACCCAAAAAAAAAAAACACCAATCATAAAGAGAGAAAATAGTTTCTCTACCCCTTTCTCTTCCGCGCCCATTCTCTCTCTTCCTAGTTTCCTTTCCCTCCTTTCTCCCCTCATCCAAACAAACATTAATCAAACCAAACCACATTAACCATGCTTGAGTTTTCCCACAATCTTCTATAGCATCTATTTGCTGGACTTTTAAATCAAGAAAATATTCAGGAACATCATAAACTGGTG